GAGCACAGACGTCGGAGGGGAGCACACACACACGGGATTCAAGGGAGCAACGGGGAGTTATTGTGTTTACAGCCTTCACTGTAAATAAAGTGCCCTGTTTGCATCGCAGAACCATGCATTTTGGGTCCTCATTCCCCCATATTCCCACGGTCTGGCTGGCAGACCGTGACAATTGAATTTAATTACTAAAGGTGTGTTAATCTGATGAACGTTAGCTAGCTAAATGTTGATCAGCTAAAGAGCTACAGCTAGATTAGCTAAAAAAAAATTCCACCCTGTTGGGTCTATGAACCTTACAGGGTGAAAATTCTAAAGAGAGAGCAATAAATATTATTGTTATTGCTAATTAATAATATTATTAAATTCATATAGTTTGTGTGCATTCTACCATTAGACTATATAACAGGGTGGAACACATTTCAGAGGCGATGTTTAAGAAAACTACCTGTAATTACTGTTTTATCTATCTCTGAGTTTGACCATAATGGATTTTATATAGTTAAACATCTCAGTATTGAAAAAAAATAAAAAAAAAAAAAAAAAAAATACATGAATAAAACATGAATCTTTTTTTTTTCAAAAGTTATGAAGCTTAAATTTTGCGGCAAAAAGAGGAACACCCAAAACTACAGCAGTGAGTCAGAGCCTGCAGCAGGGATGCCCGTAACGCGTTGCTTAGTAACGCGTTACTCTGAATATGACCACCTTTTAGTAACGACTAATCTAACGCGTTACTACTTCCATAACAGTAGTCAGATTAAAGTTACTTGTCCAAACCACTGTGCGTTACTATTTTTTAAGCAAAAAGATTTGGTTTCCTCTTTTCGTCTCAGCAGATGACAAACGCATATGTGTCGTGAAACATCACATTAGCGACAGGTCACGTTTCCCGTTCACAAGCAGCCAGCAATGTAAAAAAGTGTAAACAACAATGAAGGGAGAGAGATGTTTGTTCTTTAGCTGGAAATGTGGTCACTATTTTGAGTTTCTGTCAACTAAAGATTTCAATATTAAGGTTCGTTGTACACTCTGTGCTGGCGAAAAAGTGTTATCTTCAAAAATACTACGTCAAACTTAAAGAAACATTTGGAGTCGCAGCATGGCACAGTCAAACTCACAGAGAGAGTCCCACCAAGTGGTCCGAAGCAGAGAGCCGTGACTTCCGCAGAAGGTCCTACACCCCCCAAACAACAAAAGTTGGACTTTGGTGCAAAACCAGTAAGTGATGAAGAATTGAAGAAGTTGGTCGCGCAGTATATTGTAGAAGAAATGCTATCTATAAATACTGTTGACTCGCCCTCGTTTCGTGCCATAATAAAAAAGATCCCTACTTCTGTTAATGCCGAGCTGCCTCACCAAACGACTTTTACTTACTTACTTGGAGAAGGAGTTTACAGAAATGGAGGGAAATTTGAAGGCTGCACTGAATGAGATTGACTTTGTTTCAACTACCGCGGATATTTGGACTGCTAACAA